ATACTTGTGGCCAGAAAAAAATAATACTGCAGTGCCCCAAGGCCTGAGTAATCAGTGGAGCCCAGGCCTGAATGAACCAAAGGAGAACAGTGATTTTTCTTCAGCACCAAAAGAATCATCATTGCCATGATGTTCACCTCACTTATGAACGGTTCCTGCAAGCTCCAGTGAGAAGAAATAACTATTGACTTGTCTTTGTAGATACCATCAAACAACTTGATAGAAATGTTCTTCCAGAAAAGGCTAGCTGACAGAATACAGGATTTTCTGAGGAGGCACTTAAAATGCCATAAAATCCTATCATGCTTCATGTCAGAATTCAACTGACTTGTAAATTGCAGGTTATAAAACACTGTTGTGGTACTAGATTATTTGCAAGTTGATGGGAATGCAGGGAAACCAAATCAAGCCTTTTACAGCGACCCTAAGGGAAACTCTAAGTGCAACACTTAAATTACAAATCTCAAAGGCTGAGCCTTCACAAGTGGTGCAGCCAATACCTTCGCTATTCAAATCGCTGACCAGGTGGCCAAGGCTCTCTTCAGAGCTGGGGTACCCAGAAGGTGTGGGACTTTTCTCTCAGCAGATCAGCTAGCAGATGAAATAGGCTGCAATTGGGCACACTGTTTAGCACTTAGGTAAAAATCAAATATGTTAAAGATTGTTTCTACACAACAAAGAGGCAGCTTTATAAGTCGCAGCTTAATTTAGTCTTTTAGCATAGGCAAGGTGTTACCACTGTAGATTTGAGATGATGTATTTACATCTGAGTATAATGTGACTGGGACTCCTCCGTGTGCAAAATATGGAAAATCAAAAGAGGTACAAAATAAACGGTGCCTGGAAATGCTGTGATTGATAGTCACTGCTTTCTTTTGTTTGTATTCTTGCATAAAATGTTCTGTAAGCTTTTAAGCTTTCTGTATTTTTCTGCATGGCATTTTAGAGAGGTAAGAAAAGAAAAATGTAGACCTACTTTTAAGGCATTTGATAAGCTTCTCATGACACGATATGACCGTAAGATGATGAGTCCATGAATACATGAATATTCCAGAAACCTTAGCAAGCTTTATGGCAGTATATTTGCCTACACTGAAAGCATTCTTAGTGCAAAGGTACAGAATAAGTGGGAAGCTTAACAGACCAGAAACATCAGAAAACCATAAATCAGAATTTTTTTTCTATTGTCAGTCCAGCTAGAACTTGTTTGACATTGGAACAGACAAAGTTAGCAAGTTATCTCACGTTATATTTGAGTGCAATAGCATACAAGCAGCAAGCGTTTTGAAATCTGATCCTTCAGACTTATTTAGAACTTACATAGGAATTTGCAACATAAATACTCGGGTTATTCTGAATAAAGCAGAAATAGAAGTGTGTGTGCATGAGGAAACATGAGCTTGTCGTTCAGACAAATTCCAGTCTGAATGAAACTCCAGAAGACCAATGTGGTGTTAAGAAGTAGGCATCACAGGATGCCTGGGGATCCTTCCACCTAAAGCACATACATCGCACAGAAGATCTTCAGCTTAAATACCTTACTTGTGTTACATATGTAAAGATTTTTCCAGGCAGTACATACACATTCACTACTTTCCCCGAAATCACTAACATAGGGTTTTGCCTCTTGCACATGCTCAGTCTTTTTCTGATGGTGATGCTGAGGCCCCTGATGCTCATTTTGGTGTGTCCTTCAATTGAATCTTTGCTCTTTTCAAAATTCAATTCTTTTTGTGTGGTGCTTTGCTGAAAACAGCACTGAGCGCCAGTTCCCATCTTACGAGCCTCATGGCTTCTGCAAACTATCTGCTGCCACCTGAAAACTTGTAACAAAACAATTGCCTCCTTTGCAACTTACAAGGTACATCTATTTTCTTGACCACCTAGCTCCTATATCTTGAGGATACATCAGGATGACTATATGTTGAAGTAATGTAATTGCACAGACTAAACAATCATATCAGGCAAACACTGTTTCCCTGTAATTTCCCTTTGTTTGATTACAGGTATCAGAATAACAACTGAAATGATGGCACGTATTGTTACTTAAAGTCATCGGTGCACTTGGATCCCAGTGCAACCTTTGCGTGGCTTCATTCAGTAACCAGAGACCAAGAGATTAAAGCTGTAAGATATGGTGAGGGAATATAAATGAACTGGCCAGGAGCCAGAAGAGAAATAGATAGGGAGAGTCAAAGGAAATCCTGAGACTCAGGTGGAGTAGGATGAAATGCCAAGGCAAGAGATCACAATAGCTGTTGACTCCAGAAGGCTGTATAAGGCCTCTTGTCTAAAGGCAGTTTGCTTTTGCTCATCTTGGGTCACGTAGAGACAATTCATCTTCTCCTGCATGTCATCCTGGCTAACCTGCTCAGACACATTCTGATATTTTAGAGGGTGAAAACATGAGGAAGCAAAGGCAGCTTAATTACAAAGTTTAATAAGTCTTGTAGTGAGTTTTGTTTCACTAGCTGCCTCAATACTTGGCAGACAATCTAGAGTGGGAGAGTAAAAGACAATCTTTCCACTATTACTTCTTCATTTGAAAATGAAATGGCTTGGATCCCTAGACTGGAAAAGAAAAATAGTATAAGCTATACATAGTAACTGCCAATTTAGATTAAAAAATAAAACAAAAACAAGCAAACAAACAAAAAGATCAACAGTCTCTATACAGTGGTTGGATCTGTTGCAGATGTTTCTAATGAAAGCACTACAGCTAACAGCAGGGTTAACAGAGGAGTGGGTACTGGTGACACAGAGACAAACCGCAATTGTTATCTTGATTGCTATCAAGATTACGTAACAACACCAAAAGGCAGACTGGGAAAACAAAGGACTTACTAAAAGCAGGAAGTGAGAATATTTAGAAAAGCAGAACTGAAGCGACCAAATGCTTGGAGAGAGACACAAAGAAGCAGATGGACGGTTATAAAGGGAAAGCTGGATGAAAAGGGAAAAGATTACAATCACTATCAAATCTAGACATACCTTGAAATGTTATAAGCCCATTTGAAAACTGGTCGGCCCCACTCAAGGGATATCTGAAGAGATAAATCTGCACTCTGTAGCTGGTATCCCTTGTCTTCCTTGTCATACAGGTCATCCTGGCCACACCACACACTCACTTGGTGGTATGACAGGGACTCTTACTGTTGTGAGTTTTACAGTATAAAAGAATGAGTGTGAGTGAAACCAGTTGTTTCCCTTTCTCCTGCTATGTTAGCAGTGACATCACTCAACTAGCTAATGCTAAGCAAAATATATTTGGTCTGATGTTAAACATACTTAACTGAACAATACTTGCTTTCACAAAAAACTGCCTAAAGAAGAAGTAAGGAAAGTAGTAACTCCTGTGGACTAATGGCAAAAAGCTTTTTCTGACTTACCAAAAAATAGGCAGCAAAAATGTATTTGTTTTAGTGGACACTTTTTCTGAATGATGTGACGCTTTCCCTTGTCACACCAATATGGCTAGGAAAGTAGTCAAAGTGGTTCATTCCCAGATTTGGGATTCCCGAAGGGCTATCTTCAGATAATGGACCCCATTTTAACTTGGAAATGGTTCAAGGGTTTTCCAAATTCCTACAGTTTACGTGGGACTTACGTAACTCTTGAAGGCTATGATCAAGCAGGAAGGGTGAAAGCTTTCAAAATGGCGTTGGGAAACCCGCTTGAGGTTGGTGGAGGTTTTACCTTTTGCATTACTGAGAGTCAAGATGACACTACAGGTAGGGGAAGAAGTAAGTTCTTTTGCTACAGAAAATTGTACCCAAGAAAACTCTCCAAACAAAACTATAGTTTAGAAAGCCAACATTGTTTTATTGCAGTGCTAGGTGCATAAGGGATTTATCCTTCTAATATGCACATCAAGGGACAACAGCACACTTATTACATACATTTGTGTGAGGTAGATTGTGTTTTGCAGTAGAAGCTTCCAGCATTTTCTATACCAAGGTGTAGGCCCCCTCTGAACTTATAACCTTCTTGCAAAAGTTATGTTTTCCACAAAAAGCTGCTGAGGCAGAGACTAGGACAAGATAGGGCAAATATGTCAGATATTTTGTCTTTTTCACAAGAATGATGCCGAACAGAGTAAAGCAGAGATTGTAGCATTCTGATCCGGGTAGAATAGTTGCTAACATGAGATAAGGCAGATACACAGAATAGGAAGAGCCTAGCACAGGACAGAATGAATGTGATAACTTTAAGAAACATTGCCCTCCTATCTCCATAGGAAGGTACAAAACATACCTAAAAATAATAGGTTGAAAACAGACCTTATATGGAATTTATTGCCCACCATCTTTAGGAAATCACATGCTTATGCTAATACATTGTGAAACCGCAAGACACTAAATTGGGCAAAGGGTCTCTGGTGGTCTCTCAATTTGCCCATATATGGTACTGATGTTGAGAAACATCCTGCTTTCCTGGCACATATATTGCTTTCTAGCACCTCTTTGGCACATAGGCTTGCTTACTTTGTCTGTACAATGTTCAAATCAAAGGGGTCTGCCCTCACCCATCTAGCACACAAAGGGGCCTGTACCCACCTGTCTGGAGCACAAAGAGGTCTACGCCCTGAAAATCAACCAAAGTGTTTAAGGCTTTGATGTCACTTTTGAGATTCTGTATGGGAAGCTCTACTCCACCAGTAGGATGCAGAATAGAAGTGAGCATACATATATAAAAAGAGATGGGTTGTTAAGGGAACATTTGTTCCTTTTGTGGGTATTACCTTCTCTGCACTGATATCTCAACCTGTGAATCCCTCTGGAATGCTACTGGAAGCCCCAGCCCATGCCTGGAGGCATGCTATACATCTGTACCTGGAAGGATGACCCACAAAAATAAAAGGGGAAAGGACGCTTCTTAGCGTCTTGGCTACATACACAGCACTGAAAGTGAAGGGAGCGAGCTCCTGCATCCACTACATCAGAGTAAAGAAGGTGTCTCCGGAGGAACAGTGGGACTGAATCTCTATCAAGGAATTAAGAATGAAGATCTCCGAGAAAAAAATGAACCAATGTACTGCAGCTGGAGTTGGGTAAGTGCAAACACTGAGTTAGACCATCATCAAGGATTGTTGACATTATTTTGTGCATCAGTAGTACTAACCCCTATCATTTTAATCTTGTTTTCAGAGGTTCAAATTCATGCCTTTGTTACTTAGGTAAGATGTGATTTTTTTAAGTGTAGAGATGTATAATTACCTTAAGACTTGGTATGTTTTTGGTGCAATCTATGCTTTGGGACATATATATACAAATATATACATCTGCTTGACTCAATGAATACTTATAATTATGAATAAGGCCAATTCCTATTGGGATTGCATATTCACATGCCTTTATTTTATGGTTCAATGTGGTACAGTGCATTGCACCAAAAAACCTCCAAAACTGTGGGAATTAATCATCAGAGGTTTCAATCATAGGGAAAGAGAAATCATCTGAGTCAGGATACAAGGACAGAAAAGAGATAATAAGACACATCATGTTGTTAGAAAAGAAGCACCAAGGTGGGAGTTAAATGAAAGATTAAAGCCTTAAATCTTGAAGAAGGGAAATAGCGTCAGAGGGAATGAGTAAGCATGACCACTGAAAGAAAACAAATTGGCTAGACCATTGAAAGAAGGTATTTATTGAGCTTATCTTGCTGTGAAGAGGGGTTGGAATGGAATGTACTAGCTCCAAATGACATTAACCTTGAAGAATAATCACAGGAAGAAGAATGGATAGTAGAAAGGGCTACCACTCTAAAAAGAAGTGAAGAAATATTCACATGAATAAATGTAGCCATATGGTGATCTTGCATTTTTTGGTCTAAACAAGAAATTCTGTACTATGGAGAGGGTGTGCTAGCTTTGTGAATGAACAGCCTAGCATCCATCCTGTGCAGAAATGTAGTAAGCAAATATCTTGCTTCTGTTTATATCAGCTCTTTGCTCAGATTTTGGGACAACAATATTCACATAAATATTACAGAAAAAAAGCCATAATAATTAGCAGCAAAAACAGTTTTGGAGAAAGTTCCTAGTGCATAAGTCTATTCCCTATTGTTAGACTCATGCTTCTGCTGCTCTTCTGGCTCATAAGGTTGACAGGGGCAATTCTTACTCTAGAAGGAGGGTTATGATGATTCATGAGTGCCCCTTTGTCCTGACTGGGAGGATGGTGCTGATAGTGGGGGTTTGTTCGTATCTACTCTTGGATCTATTCTTGTTTTTCTTATGCATATTATTCTAACATGAACTATGTTTATTACTCCATTACCACACATTTTCTAATTATAACCAAGTTATCTGCATATGGTGTATTTCATGTAATGCTGGATGCTTGCTCTTTGTTCTCTTTGTTCTCTTTGTTCTCTTTGTTCTCTTTGTTATCCTAAAAACTGATTTTAACCAGCTCCCAAGGCTGCATTCCTTTAGTGACCAGTAATTGAGCACCGGGGATTTGTTTATAACACTGGGGCCTCTGGTATCATCCGATGTCTCTTCTTTCAAGGCCTCAGCTATCATCCCATGCGTGTACTCCTCCACATTTCTCAGTCATAGACGGCACTGCTACACAGAGTAGCAATCTATTTTTACTATTTTCTGTAACTGTTGTTACAGAATTTCATTAAAAGTACTATAGGAGTACAGCACATACTTACACAAAACTAATGACTGTTGAAATTGGCTAGGGAATATGATTTGATAATAATCTGATTGGAAGGCAGCTGACATTACGGTTAAACAAGCCAAGGCAAAGCCCCAGGCAGACCAAGACAAGCCCAGACATAGGTAGTGCTGGTAAATCCCAGCCCTGAGGCTGCACAGAATGTAATAATTTCTTAATTACATGCCTTATGTCTTCTCTGATGTAGTTTATCATAATTTAAGATAGAGTATCTTGATAGTGTTGCCTGGATGTAGAGTCCTAATAGTTTCACCACATTCCAATGCAGTTCTCTTCTAGGGTTCTTGACTGGATAATATATATTGTCTTGTTCTGGCGTTCATAACAACTCACCTTATTTATCAAAGCTGAAATTATTAATACATGAAACCTTTTTGCACCTACTTTTTCCTGATATCTGTATAATTATGGCATTATTTCCATATCTTTTTGATTCTCTTCAGCTAATGATGCCATGCCCTTTTTAACGAGAGACAAAAGCATGAATATCCAACCACTGCAAAAGAATACACAATGTGGGAGAATACATAAAGTTTTGAAGCATGAGTACACAGCTCTAGCATTACAAAAATTTGGTTCACTAATGGAAGTTCAATATGGAGTAGAAGATGGTATATTGCATGAGCAGCTCTGAACATGCATAAGGACGAAATTTCTGTCAGTGTTGCCAAGTAGATCCCAGCATACTGATCTGCATGTGATCTTCAAGACTGTGAAGTGGTAAAAGGCCAGAGATTATTGTGAGGAAGGAATACGGTTCTGGATATTTCCATGAGCCAAAAGGTGATGGAAGTCAGAAGACAGGAAGCTTATTTCAAATAAGGATCTATGTAACAAGATGGATAAATAGATGAGATGCTCTGGGAACCATTTGTGGATTAGATAGGTAAAAGCTCATCAGAGGAACAGAATTAGGAAGCTGAATGAAAGAGTAGTAGACATGCCTCTTTAAAAAGTTGCCAGCCTGAGATGTGGTGCAGTCAGTAACAGCAAATCTCAGTGCCCAGCAGAAACACAAAGGTCAAAAAAGTGGAAAAGAGAAAAGAAGACAGACGAATAAACAAACATCTACTGCAAGATGTTACACAATGACTGGAAACACACTCCATTTGTACAGCTCCAGAAGTCACTGACAGCTGGAGGCCTTTGCTTCAAGAGTGAAGAAACCATAACTTTACCCTCCAAGGTCTGAGGAAAAAGCAAATGCTGCAATTGACTCTGTCATCTTGATCACACAAACTGTACATGGAAACAGAGCTGTTATAGAAGCATTACAGAAGATAGTGAATAGTAAGTGGGAAGGACTGTAATGACCACTTATCCCTAATCTTAGCAGCTTTAAGAAGTTCCAGTTCATTGGCATTTGGGATTTAGGTCTTCACAGCATTATTATTATATGTCTTTAATTTCACTAGAAACTTCTTCAGAGGAAGATGTTTTAGCCTGAGTATCTGAGATGCATGCACCCAGATGGTCAGAGATACAAGAAAAATAAAATAGAAACTTAAAAGAGCAGGAATAATATAAACTAAGGTTTCTCTTTAAATATACATCTATGCAGAGGTGTGGGGTACAGCTTGCATATGAAACTGTTGATGGAAGAAAAGAATTTAAAGGACAAAGAGGAAAGTCCATCTGTAACTACAAATAGGATGAGTCCTCCATCCTATCAAATTAGTGAAATACCAGATTGAAAAAAAGGGGGCATGCATCACAGTTGAAATGTATGCACTACTTAGAACTGCTATTTTATATCCCCTAGATATCCATGTTATTCATAGTAAGGGGAGGACTCAGAAGTTTGGTGAGGAGTCAAGGACATGGCTGTTCATCATCTAGTCCCAGTTTATGAAGTGAACCTCATACCATTGCTGATAATCATCAGGTCACAATGACCTTAGCTCCTAATTACTGCAACATTGAACTGTTTCAGGGTGCATGCGGATCTCTTCACCTAGAATGCACGCCTCATAACTAAATCACCCTCATTATTATACATTTAGCATATTAATATTCATACAATTTCCACAAAGTTCAATCTATTCACAAAATTGCCATACGTCTAATTGTCAGGCCGAGGCCAGGCCGAGGCCAGGCCATCGAACTGTGGGTTGGCCTGGTTCAGTGGGGCCCTGTTGTGACGTTGCTGGGTCAGGAGCTGATGGCACTGGGGGCACAAATGAGGTCCTGTTTTGTTGGCTGGTAAGGGAGCTCCTGGGGAGATGTGCAGGAATGGTCCAGTATGGCATGCCCTCAGGGCCATGACACAGGTCTAAGCAATTAGAAAAAATGGATGCAGTTCAATAACAACTCCTTCACAAGAGAAACCTTGTTTCTTTTGGTGAAAAGAGATTTGCCACCTATTTTTGATAAGGATCATAGAAATAATAAGTACATCTGCCTCCACCACTCTGAGAACTATCAAGCATCAATAGGCACCAGTGCTCCTAGTACGAGAGGGTCCCACACCTCTCTTTTCTCCATGTTATCCTTATTATCCATTTTCTCTTTCCCTGAAAGCACCTTTTCAGACCCTGCTTACACCTACTTCCTTTCCTCTGATTAGATTGACTAGATTCACTCTGAACATGGGACCATGTTCAGAGAAGGGCAACAAAGCTGGTGAAGGGTCTGAATCACAAACCTTATGAAGAGCAGCTGAGGGAGCTGGGATTGTTTAGAAGAGGAGGCTCAGGGGTGACCTTATCACTCTCAACAACTACCCAAAGGGAAGCTGTGGTGAGGTGGAGGTTGGGTTCATCTCCCATGAAGCTAGCAATAGGACTACAGAGAATGGCCTCAAGTTGCGCCAGGAGAGATTCAGATTGGATGTTAGGAAATTTTGCTTCTCCATGAGAGTGGTCAGGCACTGGAACAGGCTGTCCAGGGAGGTGGTAGAGTTACCAACCCTGGAGGCATTCAAGGAATGTTAAAATGTTGTACTGAGGGACATGGTTAATGGGAAATATTGGTGATGGGTGGATAGTAGGACTGGATGGTCTTTTCCAACCTTCATGATTCTGTGATTCCTCCCAAATAAACAATACTTCCCCTAATTGCTTCTTACTTGTTAACCTTAATTTCACTTCTCCCATTTCTAAATTTGGTGTTTCCAACACTGTTATTTAGACAATTTTGGCCCAGTGAAGTATTACTGATGTGAATGCTTGATTGTATCAGCCTTCCAAGTAGAGTAGCCTTCTATGAGAGAAAACCTCTCAACACAATGATTGTCTCTTTTCATTTACATGTATGCTTTCTAAACAATGGTTTGACTTGATTCTTCACTCCTGTACTTTTACAACACGTTCTTCTGTCAACAATGGAAAGCACCAGTGCTTGTTACACCTAGTTCCTGTTTGCATCATTTACTAGTCTCAGTTCATTGTAGTAGGTTTCTGTTTGCTTAGTACTCAGCTTTCGACTGAGGAGAAGCCATATTTGAGAGTGGAAGAAGAGAGCAGCTGTGGCACACAAACAGCACTGAGTTTGGAGATATGTTCTAGCAGCTTGGAATCTGGAGAAGGCAAAGTCAAGGATCCCCAAAAGATTAAGCAGTAAGTGGCAAAGAAACCACAAAGTCTTGGGAAACCAAGAAAACCAGCATGTGAGGAGAAGCTACAGCCAACAAACCCAAGCCATACTGATGGCTGCACCAGACTCCTGATCTCTGTTGCAACGGGTAGTTGTGAAGTGTGCAAGGGTAACTAGATGTACGACGTCGAACTTGTCTTAATAAAGAAACAAGTTTGAATTGCTCATTTACTCTCATCTGTCAATCCTACAAAACCTGACTGGCACATTGTGGTGGCCTGGAGAAAAATGTTTGCCCCTGTAGCAACTGATTTTCAGATGATATGATCTTCAGTGCTGACTCTGTGTTGGTAGCTCCACCTCAGTCTCTGAAGAGAGGTTTTCTGCTTTTTAGTTTCTGTGATCTGTTCTTCCTTGCACTTCCTTAGATCATGTTGATTAACTGCTAATAGACCCTGGTAAATCACCATTTGTATAACCAGCCCAGAGGTAATCAAAGATAGTTGACTGCTGCACTCTCATCCTGCAGCTTTCTCAAGTGCAGTATGTTACACTGCTTGCCCTGTTGTCTTCCAGATGCTAGAACAGCGGCTCCCTAAATGTGCTAAATCAGCAGCTTGGTCTGTCTCATCACAAGAAATGCTAAATACTTTGTTATTGTGCTTTGAGTTTGTCTATTGAACTATCCGCATATAACAGTCTCATTTCCCTTACCATGGCTCTGTTACTTTCATTTATTCTTAGATTTCCTCTTCCAGAAGGCAACACAGAAATTTGCATAAGAAATTCTGAAATTGCTTGAATAAAATAGGAATGATGCATTGTTACCCAAGGTCCACCTGGATCCCAGTGCAACCTAGTCTGGCTTTTATCCGTTAACCAGATGGAAAGAGAATGAAGCCATCGTAAGATAAGATGAGTGGGGATAAATGAGCTGGCCTGGAGCCAGAAGATAACAAAAGGAAAACAAAAGGACTGCTGTGACTCAGCGATGTTGCGTAAGACCCACCCAGAGGCAGAAGATCACAGTAACCACTGGCTCTTAAAGGCTACCTGTATATGTGCCTACGTTCTCAATAGTGAAGAGGATCATAGGGCACAAAGAGGATTTTGTAGCTGACACACTCTGTCTCACAGGTCAGTCTCATATCCTACGTGTCATGCCAAGCTGCTTGGGCGCTCATACTGGTACTTGTGTGGGTGAGAATGTGTGTGAGTGAATTGCAAAGCTTAATAAGAATCACTTTCTCCAGCAGTATGGTTATGTAACGAGCTTTGCTTTCCTAACAGTTACTCACTTTACAAAATTTAATATTTTACTCCATATAGCTTTTTTTACCTCTTTAGAACATGAATTTAGACCTTCTGAACACATCAAAGTCTTCTGGCAATGTTGTGATTTGTAAGTACTGTACTATACTATATTTTCTTCTCACATTAACTCACTTATTTTTTATGTTTGTCTATTGAATCTTGGACTGATTAGTGGAAACAAACTCTCTAACCCACATAAGATTATAAGAGCAGGTTCGTCTTTATTTCAGTGCTGCACCACACGCCGGGTACAAGGGGGAGCTTGCACACCAGAGTGGGATCTCGATACATTTACAAGCCAAGCCATACAATATTCAGCAGTATTTCCCAAGACGCACTGACATATTCATTACTTTTCTGGGAATTCATTTACATACTGTCCCTCCCCCTAAAGCATGCGCAGTAGCTTCCATGGGATGAGGGCTTGACGTCTTCCTCCCCATCTGGTGGTCGTTCCAGGATGAAGTCAGATGTCTTCCTCACCATGTCCTTCCGACCTTTGTCCCAGTTCTGAGCTCTTCTCCTGCCCTGCATGCCTCAGCAATTTCTTATTCTGTTTATCTTCCCTTTCCATTGTTTTCTTAGGGGCCCCTTTCTGCTGGCTTGAGAAGGCTCCCTTTTGAGAATGTGTTTGGGCTAGCAAAAGGTTAAACTAAGCAATAAATTCCTCTAGTGTTAGCAAAAGGTTAAACTAAACGATGCTATTTGTGAATTCCTTTTGAGGTTGTGAAACCAAGCGATGTTATGGACCCCTTACATCTTGTGTTCTTCAGCTTATTATCTCAGGACAAAGCTCTCAGAAATATGATGTGACTATTTGGGTGGTTCTGTGTGGAGCTAGGGGTTGGTCTTCACGGTGTTTGTCATCCCAATCCTTGCCTGGTGCACAGATTTGATAGACTCACGGGACTGAGGTTTGCTGATTGCATTTCCTTTAAGACTGTACAAACTTGGGAGCGAAGGGAACATCCCAATCTGATATTTACACAGTTGTTTTCAATGAAACAGCTTAAAAAGCTGTTATCTTAGCTAAAAATTGTCTCTGGTTATATGTCTCCCATCATTCCTTTGCGCAAGCTCTGTAAGGCGTTCACTCATTCACACAGGAAGTGAGGGTGGGGCATTACTTCATTATAACATTATTTAAATCTCATTATTCCTTTTTGGGTGTGTAATTGCACATTTATTTCGGCCTTAACGAATCATAGGTTACTTCAGGTTACACTTATTCCTGCTTCAGCCTGCCTCAACCAGTTTTGTCTGGTTTCAGTTTCGGTTTCAGCAAGGCCTTCACGTGGCCTCCAGATCATCCTGGAGCATCTGGGGAACTTCTTTCTTCCTTCCTGAGTGCATTCCTGAATGCATTCCTGAGTTCCCTTGTGGGGCCCTTCTGATAAGATAGGGAGATAGTGCCTTTACAAACAGTAACCTTGTAATACTGTGAGGGGTGTGTTGCTAAAGCTTATCTGTGCCAAACAGAATGTGAAACCAGAGGAAACCACAGGAGCTGACTAACGCCAACCTCTGAAGTTTGAGCAGAGCGTGCAGGCTTCACAGGCTCATAAACATTTGACTTCTTTGCCCTGGGTGGCATAGAGTGAATTGCACATATTGTGTATGATACGTTGTGGGGGGGGGGGGGCATGCTAATAGAAACATATAATAACTGATAATAATCACTGATCAATGATCATCAGCTGGTATCCTTTGTCGCATCGTGAGAGAGAACAGGGTTCACACCCAAAGCAATTCTCTACCTTTGCTTCTGTGTACATGCTTTTATTTCTGACAGCATTACGTGTTCATTAAATTTCCACAAAGCCTGATACATAGTCATAGTATTTCTCAAGATGTCCATCCCTTTTCTAGGAATTCTGTCTCTGCCCATTGTCTTTTTTTTTTTTTTTTTTTTTTTTTTTTTTTTTTTACATGGTTTCTTTCTTACTGACTTAGAGCTGGAGGTTGCTCATCCTCAGTGCGGCGGTCCCTTAGGCAACTTTCAGTCACAAAAACGCAGGTGTTCTCGCTTATCATAAACGCGGGCTCATCTTGTTCCTCTAGGAGTTTTCCTTGCTCGCTTCAACCTACTGCGGTTTGGTACCTTGAGCGATCAGCTGCCCAGCACACTTAGCACCTACGGTTATTGCAAGGCGCAGTTCATCGCTCATCGCACCCTCCGATAATTTGAGAGACCCTCCAGCTCAGCGGGCTGCTGAGGGCTATTTTGTTCGAACAAAGGAGCGAGCTGCTCTGTCTCCCCTTCTGAACGTTCACCTTTCCTAATTAAACGAGTTTTCAGCACGCGGATGACTCTTCCAGGACCCGAGCGGGCCGGAAGGACCCCGCAGCCGAGAGAACGCCGAGTCCCCGGCTGCGCCATAGCGACCCGAGGAGGCCGCCGAGGGGACAGCCGCCCGCGCGCAGCCTCCTCCTACAGCTCCGGCGCGGTCCCGCCCCGGGGCGGTCTCTGGCTCCGTGCCGCCGCTCTGCCTGCCGGCTGCGGAGGCCTCGTTCTATCCGCCGAGGCCTGGGGGCCCAGCGGCCTCCGGCTCCGCTTCTGCCTCCGTACGGATCAGCCGCCGGGCGCCGGGTTCGGTGAGCACGGGCGGCGGGCAGGGCGGCAGCGGCGATGAGGCCGGGCCTTCCTGCGCGCGGCCGGGAGCGGGCGGAGGGGCCCGTGGGGCTGCGCGGGGCCGGGGAGCGCGGCAGGCCGGATGGGAGCGGGGCGCTGCGGGTGCTCGGCGCTCGGCGCTCGTCTCGCAGGTCGGTTAGAATTGATCCGGCTGGAGGCTGAGCGAGCAGGCGAGCGAACAAGCGAGCGCAAGGAAATCTACAGGCTTGCTTTTCCGTTTGCCTCCCGAAAGATCTTCCTCCATCATTGCCTCAGGCAGAAGTTTGTTTAGCGGCTTTCACTGCGGGGTGTGCTATCCCGGGAGGCGGGAACGGGGAGGGGCAGCTGGGGGTTAGGGACAGGTCTGCACCGCAGGGCGGTGGGCATGGAACGGGCTGCACAGGGCAGTGGGCACGGCCCCGAGTGATGGAGCTCAAGGGGTGTTTGGACATCACTTTCAGACACACGGTTTGGATTTTGGGGTGGTGCTGTGTGGAACCAGGAGTTGGATCTGGTGGTCTGGTGGGTCTCTTCCAGCTTGGGAGCATCTGACATACTCCGTCTGCAAAGGCAAGTGGAAATGTGGAGAAGAGGCTGACACCCCTACAGCACTAATTCTGAGGTTTCTCTGTATGCTTCTGGAGGCCTCTAGATATTGGTGAAAACTGGAGGCATGAACTAGAACATGAGTTTCTGAAGCCCATAGGAATGCTGAGGATCATTTTTCCTAGAAGTTATTATGCAGCTGCCTCTTTCCAGGAGCTCTGTGGTAATGCTAGATTTTTCCCTACTCTTAACTAGCCTCCTGGGAAGACTGGAAAGTAAAAGAAAACAGACCTATGGTGTCTACTGGTAAATATTTTCTAGCTCTCGCATCTCAGGACTGTGGGAAGAATAAAAGTTATTGCAAGTAACAAATGCTTCTTTATCTCTTATCACCTGATGTTCTTGAGCTGTCCATCCAGTGTGTTAAAACATTTGGATAGTCATTCCTGGCAGAGGAAGCAAAGTGGTGTTAATGATCACTTTTAGGTTACTGTTCACAAAATCAAATCCTTTACTCTTAGTATTCCTGCCAGTAAGACATTCGTCTGAGTAACAGAACAAAGCCTTAAAAATGTGCAAAGTTGGTCTTAAAGCTATTCATCTGGAGCTGTCAATTCTCTGTATTCATGCAGCTCACTGAAGCAAGTTACAGTACTTCAGAGTAAAGGGCAGAACGCACTTTTTGGAGCTGGCATGTTCAGACTTGAACAGTAAACCTAGAAGTATATATTTTTATATGTATATGCATATATTTCTTTTCAGAAGATAGTATATGAACTGATGCTATGGCAGAAAAACATCACTGTGTACCTTCATATCGAGTGCTATGAAGTGTTTTGTTTTCCTGCTTGATGGTAGCTAGAGCACACTCTAGTTCACTGATCTGTCAGGATTTTAGAGAGGCTTTTGTTTTGGCTCATTTTACCACCTAATGCACAGACACTTTTTCCATTCTTCTCCCCTTTTTCCCTTCATACCATTCTTAAACTGCAGTGCTTGTAGATTCATAAAATAATTCTTATCTGTTGGAAGCAATCATTCAAACAGTGGCTTTTAAAAAGCCAGCAAGTTCTTTGCCTTAAATAGTTTCTGCAAACATCTGATAGTGAAATATTTTTTGTTTCTAAAATTTAAACTATTGCTTTTATATTTACCTTTTCATGAGGAAAAGTAATCAAATGGGCACTGTTGTGCCAGTTTAGTCTCCTCCAGTAGTGTGCCCAGCTGTACTGCATGCTGCAGCCTACTCAACCACTACCTGGGTCCTGCTTTTGGCTGCAGATTGCAAATATGGGAAGTGGTCCCATAGACTGTGCGGAACATGTTTGGTTTCATTTGTAACTCTGTCTTGCTGATGGTGGCCTCTCCTGGTCTCAATCAGTACAAAAATTGTTCTGCTTGACCTGTTGGTTTGATGTGGAATCCTTTTTCTCTTTGCTGATGACTAATAGTTAATAAGTGAGTAGAAGAGAGAGATTAATATTCTGTCCCCTATTTTAAAAGGAATGGAGAGGTCAAACATCGCAAAATAGGAGTAGAGAGCAGAAGCCCAAGGAGAGATGGGTGCTATTCAGATGTCTTAATTCCTGGCAGTGTTCATTTACTCATGCATTGTTAAGACCGATGAGGATTTGTGAAAAGCTGTAGAGCAGGCATGTGTAACGTTCAGGCTGCATGCAGTCTTAGATAACTAGTAATGAGATTGTAAACTTCTAACATTATTACATGATTTCAGGGATATTTTGTCATGAGTTGACTGCATAGTTTGAGTGCTGGCTGCATAGGTGGTAATGGAGTGCTGTGGAGGGGAATATGTGGTGTGGGGCTCTTCTCTTGCATCTGTGACATGTGCTCAGTTAAATTGAAACCAGCATGTATTTACCTTACATTCCCTTGTGCCACTTGGTGACTGAAATGCGGTGATTGCTAATAATTAGATTTCATCCTACCGTGTGTGTGTGCCTATGAATGTAAGAAACACTCAAATCAACAGTTTCTCATCAGGCAGTGATCTTTGCGAAGCAGCAGAAGTTATTATTTACTGCAGTAATGGGCACACACCTCCTTATGGCAAGGGAGAAATTGTGTGCCATATCACCAAAACCCACTCCATTAAATACCCTCACTCGAGGCAGGTGATACCTCTCCTGCTGTTCATTGCTTGAGCTTATCATGCTCACAATCTTCCCAATGTGTTTGCTAAAATATTTTTCTATATACAATTTATCACAACCTGCTGTTCTTTCATCTTTCAATGGGGAACAAGAGAACAATGCATATTAGGCCCACCTGTTGTTTCCCATTTTTCAAGGGGAACAGGAGGACAATGCATGCTGGGTCCACGTGCAGTTCCCCATTTGTCAAAGGGGAACAGCAGAACAATGCATGCCAGACTCTCCCTCCCTATCACCTTAGCCAGTCTCAATTCCTTCCCACCTGGGCTAGGTGTTCTGACAACCAAACTACTTGGCAAACTCACTCTACCATGTACTAAGCTATGCTTCAATGATGTGTTGTGAACAAGAAACCTTGCAGCCATTTTGTAAGAAAGTTTAGCGAAAGTCTGTACCTTAGTGTTTAGAATTGCTCTAGTGCAAAAACACAGTCTACTTCTTATGAGGAGATGTGTGGTTTTTGTTATTAAGCAAAAACGAAAGTTTTCTTATTTAGTTATTAAGCATATGGTTTTGTTATTTTGTGAGGTAATTCAATAAGTTAACAAGTTCATTGCAGAAGAAATATCCAGAATACCTGTGCAGCGCTGACAAATTTTGTAACGTTCAATGTCTCAAAAAGCTGTTTGTGACTCCATTTTCAATGGACATCAATCTGATACCTGTGAATTTTCAAATGGAATGTATAGTTGCAACTTGACAGTCAACTCAAATAAAAATTGGATTGTGTCTCTTTATGAGACGTGTCTTACCAGGGAGAAATATCCCTCACTTTACAGTCACTCCTTTATTCATGTCATTGTTCAGTGGCAGCACGTACATTTATGAACAACTGTTTTCAAAGATGAAGCACAGGAAAAAAAAATCATAAAAAAATAAAAAATCTGTGAGAACCTTGAGAACTCAGTAGGAATTACTTATAAGTATATTGAACCAGGCACTGATATACTAGTTTCACAGAACCAAGGTCAACTATCCCACTAGACTTATGTTTTTGTTGCCCTATTTTAATAGAAAATATATATTAAAATACTTTGTTACTTATATACATTAACTATACTATATTTTTTTTTTTATGCAGCTCAAGAAAATGTCCTTCACTCATTGTGTTCAAATGGGTTTCCATGGCCATGCTGAAAGAGTTTGGGTCATGCCCAGACTAACGACTGTGATGGCTAGATTAGTGAACAGTGCAGCTTATTAAAGCAACAGAGCACAGATTCTTTTGGGTTGCTGGTGGTAAGTGTACTGTCTACACAGCTTTTGAGGTTAACCAAGGAATAATACAACCTGGCCACAACATTATAACATTCAGTTATAAAAGCAACGCTATAGAGATTTCTGAGTTTCCTGGGGAAGTACTCTGTGTAACAGAGGGAGAGACTCTTAACCAGTAGGTGTCCCTATGTGGGGGAAGAGAAACTCAGTCTGTCAACTGATCTCAAAAGTCAGAGGTATTCTCCCATCTTGTCTGTGGTAGTATCTTCCGTGATATCCCCCTTATCTTAAGCCATTTTTATACCATTTCTTGTTTTGCAGGTGGAGCTTGAGGGACTGTAGTGATACATGCCTTTGATTACGAATGGTGAACAATTCTATCTCTTTACTTCTAAAGGTACAGGCTTGGTGAGGAGTGATCACAGATTGGAGGTAGGTAGCTTTTGGGATGGCTGTGTTCTGGTATGATAATGAGCTTTTGCTGAGCAAAGTTAACCTGAAGTATGGTATTTTGTCAAGGAGTGATGGACTGTTGGCTCAGGGTAGCAGCTTTTCAGTACTTAGTACCACCAGGTTCCCATCCTGGCATTGCTCCTTGAAGAGTCAGTACATCAAGTTCTCCTGATGTTGCCACCAACACCAAGGGTTGCTGAGGAACCTGGAATGGATCACATAACTTGACTGCAGAAGTAGTCACTCCTCCACCTTCTGTGCTGTTTTATGGATTCCTTGCATACCAGCTGCTTCTCTGCCTCTGTGAGCAGTGCTGTACCTTAATTTCAAGTCGCTATAGCAATTATTCCACAGCTTCTTGAACTGTCTGTTTTTCCACTGTTTTTCAAAGGACTGCAGTACTTTTCTACTGCTGACAGGAAGTGGGTTTGTGCCTCTTCTTTCATGTGGTTGATAGACATGCTATAGATGTGTATTATTTAGGACTTATATACTTAAGCAGACACAAGTTATCAGGAGTTTCAGAACTGCAAAGCGCAATGGAAATGCAAAACAACAACTGAAAAGGCAGCAGGGTTTATTAGTTGGGGGCA